TGAAATTACAGGCACCCACCACCACGCATAGCTAAGTTTCATGTTTAATAGAGATGAGGTTTCACCATGTTGGCCAGGCTAGTCTTGAACTCCTGACCTCAGGAGATCTGCCCGCCTCAACCTCCCAAAGTGCTGAGATTACAGGCATGAGCCACAGTGCCCAGCCTAGGACTCTAAAATCAGAGTATAAGACCATGGTTTCCAACTGTCAAAATCCTAGTGCTTATCTACAAAAGGCAACGCTGAGAGAGAAATCTCTTTACAGCATTTCAAGAATGCTTATAGAAACTTGAACTTCTACCTAACAAAAAGGCTTCAGTGAAGCTATGTGATTAAATGTTTGCTAACTGCTCCGGACCTCAGACAAACCAGACAATACCAGTCTGCTTCTGTCCTTTGTCCTTTTTCCTTCTGAGCCTTTTAAACACTAGCATTTGCTAGCAAATGACCTAAACTGGTATCTATCATGCAGACAGGAATCAAACTATCAGTTATAGGGTCTTTGATTATTAATCTTTTTAAGATAGAGAAACAAATTCTCATGTATATTGAAGTTTGGCAGACAAAACACGAAGTATATGTTTAAAAAAAAGAATGAATACCTAAGTCGAGACAGGGCTGAGAACCACTGGGGTGTTTATCCCATACTACCATTAGGGAGGGTCCCTTACTCTCTGCTTCAAAACAGACCAGGGAACCATCAGAGCAATTCTCCTCATTTCCTGAACCTCTGTAACATACCCAGTTCTTGGTATTTTACAGCAAAGATCCTTAAGCCTCTAAGCAGGACCATGTGCTTGTACACTGTGCAGGGCAGTGAGAGAGGGAGGGAGAAGTTGCCAGGATGCAGCTACTTTCCTCTCCATAGCTGTGAGTGGAGCTCACATGGCCAGTGGAAAAGCACCCCAGGGAGAAAGGGAGTGCTTGGCTGGCCTGGGGCCTACCCAGTAGGGCACCACGGATCTCCTGACTACTATAGGGGAGACCAGCATTAGACAAGGTCCCACAGTAGTCACCGACCCCTCAAGTCCCCTCCTTGCCATGAGCCCTTTTTCAAACCCCTTCACTGTGGTCATCAGACACCTGGGTGCTCTGTATCCCTCTCCCAAGTTCAGCTCAGGCAGGCATCCACGCACCCTGCTAGGAGTTGAGGTCATTTCCTCGATTTACAGATGAGGAAATTGAAGCTTAACAAGGTCACATAACACACAGAAGGTCACACGGAAAGGAAGGGGCAGAGCCAGGATCTGCACCTGAACCATCTGGCCCCAGATGTGGGCTCTCTAGCCACCCTTGCTGCTGGCTGCCTTGCCTGCACTCTCAGCACACCTTTCCCTCTCAGAGCTCCAGCTGGGGCTTGGGGGAGTGCCACTTAGTCTGCACTCAGCTGTTTTCTCATCCCTCCTGGAAATGAGTTTAATGCCCTCAACAACTAGTGCTCAGAGGTCAGGGGCTGGGTCCTGATGCCTGTCTCAGGGCCTGGAGGTTCAAAGCTCACAGCAGGCACTTGGAATACATACATGTACAGTGTCTATTTGCTGCCCCTCCCCAACTCTCTCTACCCTGTGGAGTGCTGTCTTGTGGGTATAAACCTTATATACCCAGACCCAGAAACCCGCCAGAGTCAGAGCAGGGCATCTACACAAAGCAAGGGCAGCATCAAAAGGAATGAATGGAGGGTCCAGTTCTGTACTCCCGACTCTTCTCTCCACTTCTCTCCAGTCTCCCTCCTCAACAACCAACCTAAGCCAACCAAACAGGACACCACCACCTCCTCTTCTATCATGGGCATGGTCATTAATGCTCCTCCTGCGGGGCTTAGAAAAGGGTGGTAAATCTAGATTCGGTGCCCCAGACCCAGGCATGGTGTTGAACACAGCAGTTGTGCTGCCACTTCCCAGTGTATTTCAAGGAAAAGGCAACACAAGAGACTGTTTTATGTGGAGGAGAGCTTGGAAACCCCAGGAAGTATGGCTGCTATAAATATAGGCCAGGGACATCATGTGTAAATATAGCCAGGTTCGCCAGTAATTGCTCAGAGACCAGAGTTCCTCTGCACACCAACTACTCAAGAAAAACAATGCTGAGTGGGCATCTACTGGGGATGAGGCACGTCTGGGCAGTATGTCTGGGAATACCCCCAATAGGGGATGATGACAGAGTCACCCCAGATAGGTAGCTCTCAAATGTCTGTGCACACCTTGTCCACCTTGCAGATGTTCTGTGTTCTCCCTATCTAATACCTGTCTCACACATAGATGGGTCAGAGTTCTCACATCACCCTTGCTGCTGTGTTGTAAGCAAAATTTCTACATTAACTCTGACCAAAATTCAGGAAATTAAACCAGAAGCATAAAAACAGCCATAGGAGGCAGGGAGTGGTGGCTCATGCCTGTACTCCCAACACTTTGGGAGGTAGAGGTGGGCGGTGAGGTCAAGAGATTGAGACCATCCTGACCAACATCGCAAAACCCTGTCTCTATGAAAAATACAAAAATTAGCTGTGTGTGGTGGTGCGCACCTCTAATTTCAGCTACTTGGGAGGCTGAGGCAGGAGAATCGCTTGAACCCGAAAGGCGGAGACTGCAGTGGGCCAAGATAGCACCACTGTACTCCAGCCTGGCGACTGACACACACACACACACACACACTCTCCATGGAGGTTGCAGTGAGCTGAGATTACGCCACTGTACTCCAGCCTGGCAACAGAGTGAGACTTCATTTAAAAAAAAAAAAAAAAAAAAGCCATAGGATGAATTCCATGGCCAAGCAGAAATGGTTTGTGGAATAACTACTTTGTACGTCTGAATCCTGCCTATAATCCTCGTTGAGGGCCAAGCATTCATTTCTTCCAGTTGCAGTACTATTATTTTTACTTGGAGTTGAAAAACCCCTCTAAGTCTTCTGGTGCAATGGTTTTCTAGTTTTATTTTAGTGGGAGAGCTCTTTCTTCAAAGGAGATCCTATCTGGAAGCTGACATGTAATTTAATTTGACCCCGAACTGCTGGTATGAGGGACCGGGAGCCCTGCCAATGGATCCTGCTCTTGCCCTCGAAAGCTCCTGGGAGTACAATTTGAAAAACACACATGCACACCCCCTTATTAATTTGTTCACTCACTCGTTCACACAATAATAACTCTTGAGTATCTACTGTGTTCTAGGTGGAGCCAGCAGGTAACAGCACAAAGGCAGCCCCGCTTTCAGTGAGTCCACATTGTAGTAGGATGTGGCAGAGCTAAGTTCAGACAGGTTGCAAGAGCTATGAGGGAACAAGAATGTGATCATGGCTGTGAGGTGGCTACTTTAGATGGGGGATCAGGAAAGGCCTCTCTGAGGAAGCAAAACCCAATTGAAATCGGAATGATAATCTGGAAATATGCCCTGATTTGGACCAAAGAGGAAGTAGACCTAGAGAGGTGATGTGACCTTCCCCAGGCAGGGAGCTGAGCTGGGACCTGACCTGGGTTGCCGGCATCCCCCACCCAAGGATCTTTTCTTTTACGAATATTACTGCACAGCTACCACATGCAAAGAAGTCTCAGGGACAGGTGACATCCGAGGGTGGACAAACCACCCAACCACATCCTGGAATTTGGTGCTGTCTGTGTATGACTTTTTTTTTTGTTTTTTGTTTTTTTTTTTGAGATAGAGCCTTACTCTGTCACCAGGCTTGAGTGCAGTGGTGAGATTTCAGCTCACTGCACCCTCTGCCTCCCAGCTTCAAGCAATTCTCCTGCTTCAGCCTTCCGAGTAGCTGGGACTACAGGTGTGTGCCACCATGCCCAGCTAATTTTTGTATTTTTAGTAAAGATGGGGTTTCACCATGTTGGCCAGGATGATCTCAATGTCTTGACCTCATGATCTATCTGCCTTGGCGTCCCAAAGTGCTGGGATTACAGGTGTGAACCACCGTACCCCACTTGTGCATGCCCTCCCTCCTTCTTCAGCCCAGTTCAGGGTTGGCTCTAGGTCTGAAGGTGCTGTAACCAAAGAGACAGAACTCTGTGGTGGATACCCTAGACCTGTGACCTTGGCTGAGAAAGCTTTTTTTAATAAAAGATGGGGTTTCACCATGTTGGTCAGGCTGATCTTGAACTCCCAACCTCAGGTGATCCACCCGCCTTGGCCTCCAAAGTGCTTGGATTACAGGCGTTAGCCACCACACCCGGCCAGAGAGCTTCTTTATCTCCTATCGCTGGCTGCAAACTGTAAACTGCGGAGGGTGCTCCTTCCCGCTTCATTTGGCGGCATAAAGATAAAAGCAAGTTGGCGAGTATAAACGGCCTGGGCTCATCTGGAGAAAGGCTCTCTGGAAACTCAAAGTATTCTAGGGAGACTTAAAGACATCAAAGTCAGTTTTCCTCTCGTTCTGCAGCAGGCATTCACATAGGTCTGTACATATTTTACACACGAGTCCAAAGTTGGGTGTAAAATGTCTATTGTGCTGAATATTATGGGAAGCAGCATGCATATTCCTCCCTCTGCTACCCACAAACCAAACAGCTCTGGGCCACCTAAGCACTGGCCAGACAACCAACCTGGCACGTGTGGGCCAGTAGTGCCCCTTGCCTTAAGAGTTCTACCTACCATCAAAGCACTTCCCGGCATTAAGTAATTGGACCCTCCAGTCCCTTGGGAGACTGGTGGGTCAGTGGTTATTACTCTCATTTTGCACACAAAGCAACTGAACCCCAGATGACCTACCTGTCCAGGGAACAATGCTACTGACACAGTGACAACCATTAAGTGCTGACTCAAACCTGCCTCCAGCCTCCAACTGCTGCTTTCCACTACCATCCAGCTGCCGACAAATTGAACAGACTATCCACTTTGGCCTAATACCACCCTCATTCTCTTCCTCACTCTCTGCCCGGCACACACCCTATGCCCCAGAGTGCACTTAGGAGTTTTCCCAGAAGTTGCCTCTTCTCCCCACCTCCCACCCCTGCCCCCACCTCCCAATACTTGCCACGAACTGGAGACCTCTGGACCACTTACTCCTCTTGCACACACAGCAGCTGAGACTCAAGTTAAGATGCTGTCCCGCCCAGGCCAACTGGGCCGCCTCCCTTTCAGACTTGCCAGCCAATTCACACATGTGCACACTGCACATACCGCTGGTGAAAAGGAAACACTCCAGAACCTTTCACACCTTCTTTTCACATGGAGCCGGCCAACTGCACGTGCAAGGATGGGCACAAAAACACAGGTTACAAGGCCTACAGAACCATATTGTCACAAATACACAGATATGTCCAGGGAACATGGGGACACCCCTGCACAGGCAGATAGGCCCTCTGAAAGCCAGTGCACCAGATACAGCAGCTGCCAGCACTTAACCCCCGCATACACTGCCAAGGCCCACCCCATGAGCGACTTGCTAAGACAACTCTGGGTCTGTCATCTTGGTGTCCGCATGAGCGGCCGCTAGGGTGGACAAAGAATGACATTTTCAAGAGGATAGACATACCTCAGGCACGCTGGACGACACGAGGCCCTCAGGGCCCCAGAGCTCTCTCCCAAGGCACAAGTGCAGAAAGCCGACTCAGGCGCGTGCTTACGGGCGCCGCGCTGAGTGTCCCATGCCCCGCGAGCGTCCCAGGCGTTCCTGCCTCCTCCACTCCTCATTCCCAGCCGGCTTCCCTCTGCCTGCCCGGAGGAAAGCTCGGGACAGTGTATCTAGCTTGGCACCGCGGGCGGGGCGGGCAGCGGAGGCGGCGGCGCCTCTCCGGGACCCCAGCCCTCTCCCGCGGCGCCCCCACTGCCCCGGCGCGCGTCTGCACTTACCCGGCCAGAGGCTCCGGACGCGGCGACGGGAGCAGCGCCTAGAGAGGCGGAGAGCCGCGGCTCCCGGGGCCGCCCACCGCTGGCAGCCAGTGCTCGTCCCTCCCAGCCGGGGAAGGTCAGCGTGCGGGCAGCCCGGCCCGCGCCCCGGCGCCCACGGAGTCTTCCTGCCGCCCCCGCCCGCGCTCCGCCGCGACGCCCAGGCGCCGGCTCTCCCAGCCCCGCCGGCAGGACGCGCCCAGGAGCCCCGCACGCGAGCTGCCGGCTCTTTGTTTGGGAGTTGGGCTTTCTGCGATTCAGAGCACGCGGAGAGAATTAAGTCAGAGTGCGAGGCAGCTGTGCGGTTGCCCGGGGAATCCCTGCGGGGTGCGGTGTAGCGGCTTTCAAACTCCCCGCCCTCTTCAGCTCCCCGCTTAGGTCTCCCTGCCGCCTACGTTTGTTGGCCCCTGGGAGAGGTTGGCCTTTGGGGGTTCCCAAAGCCTGTCTGGTAAGAGAGAACCTCTCCATTCCCTTTCGTCACTACCCCCGTCACTGCCCTGTCCCTCTGAGAGTCCTGTGGACCATCAGCTTTACATTCTCTGGATCCCGGGGAGAATCAAGGTCTCGGAAGCTAAAAGGAAGAGCTGAGAGTAGAGGCCATCTGTTCCTGCTGTGCCCAGGTGGAGGTGCAAAGCTGGCCCTAACTGCACCGACCCTAACAGAGAGGCATGCATTATGTGTTTCCCAAAGTAACAAGGGCCTCGTGCTTATCCAACAGAGTTCTTTTGAAACTCAGCTGCAGTGAGTAAGACTACCTATTTAGCAGGTTGCTAGATTAGGGAAGCCACGGGAGGCAGGGAATGCTGACGAAGCCACTGCACCTGGAGCACCAGTGTTCTAAATACCCGGACTGGCTGCTGAGAAGAGCTTCACAGGAGGGCCTCGCGGAAGGAGATGATTGCAATAGTCCCGTGAGATGAAGACCTTAACTGGGGGATCAGTGCGGAAGCTGCGGCAAAGGAGAGTCTACAGAGCTTGCTGTGTGTGGTGCGGGAGGAGCGCACGGGCTGTAAGACTGGAGGAGAACCTGGGGTGATGTGAGCCTGAGTTTAGCGTGGGGCAAGTTGGATTGGAGAAGAAACTACCTTCTCCCAGGGACAGATATCCAGCAAATGTAATTGGAAAGGTGATTCTGGGGTTCATGGGAGAGGCAGAGGCAAGAGTTGCAAATTTTGGAATCGTCTGGAAAGAAGTTGGGCAGACACGAGAGGTGGAAGGAGAGGGTAGAAAAGGTAGAGAGAGAACGGGGCTGAAGACAGAACCTCGGTCTACGGAGAAGGAGCCCACAAAAGGAACGGAAACCATCAGGAGAAACCATGAGGGAGGGTCAGGACTGTGCGGGTTGACAGGGACCAGGAGAAGAGGGACACCAAGGAGGAGGACGCCCAAGAAAACAGGTTTATATTTAGAAATTAGGAGATCTCTGGGCAAGTTCAAGATAACTATGTGAGTGATGGGTTGTATAAACCAGGTTGCCACTCCTTCGGGGTGGGGGAGGAGTCTTTTGGATCCAATTGGTTGATGCGGAGATACAAAGGTTCATCTCTTTCTTTCATTAGGGAGGGTCCTGAAGGGCCACCCAGCTCCATAGCTTCCCAGGGTATTCGCGGGGGCCTCTGTGGAAAGCAGCACCGTTCAATTTTATGTTCTGCCGAATCCTGTTTCCCTCACTCTCTCAAGGTGTAGTTCCCAAGAGCACCTCCCTGGAGACCTCCCACGTACTGATCTTCATCTCCATACAGAGTCTGTTTCCTAGAAATCCAACCGAAGGTGGGGGGGGGGGCGTGGGGGGGTATTGAGAAAGGGCACGGGAGACAAAGAAAACATGGAATGAAGGTAAAACCCACCCCTCAAGTGCCTGCGGGAGTGGAGGCCTGAATGAGCACATGCCCCGATGCCGCTCCCCTTGACCTCTAACGGAGCAGTTTAAATAGACAGGACGATCAGACTCAGAGAAGGTAGTGTGCAGGGAAGAGCCTGGGAAAAGATCGAAGAGGAAGCTTATTCCCAGTGGAATATGAATGTTCAAAAGCCAGGTAGAAGAGAGAAGAGTGGAGTAGGCTTTAGGAGGGGAGGATTGCTGGAAGAGGGTAAGGGTGCGGGGAAGTCAATATTCACCATAGTTAATAATATTAAAACAGCAACAGGGAAGGTGAGGATTGGAAAACGGCCTGGAGTGACTAGCAGTAGGAGAGGGTGAGTGGCGAATGAAGCTCTGGACTAGGGTATTCCCTCTCCAGCACTGTCCCCAGTAACATTAAACATCTAGAGTGGAGAACCAATGGAAATATAATATGTAATTAAAAACTTTCCATGAGCCACCTTTAAAAGAAATGCATATAAAGAAACAGGTGGAAGTAATTGTAATGATTTATTTAATATAGTATATCTAAAATATCATTTCAACATGTGTCAATATGAAAAATTAACAAGCTATTTTACATTTTTCTTACTAAGTCTTCCAACTCTGGTTATATTTTATGTGTATTGCACATCTAAGTTCTGACACTACATTTTCATTGGAAATATTCAATGTGCATTTAGATTTCATAATATTTATGGTTGAGGAAATAGATTTACAAGCCTATGTTGCTGCATACATACTTAGGCTTTCCAATGGTCCAATCAAATCAGTTTTAAAATTTGTTTATGTTAATTAAATGAAATAAAGAATCCTGTTCTTCAGTTGCATGTAGCACATCTCAAGTGCTCAGTAGCCACGTGTGGCTAGTGGCTACCATATCAGACCACACAGGCTTGGAATTCTAATTCCTAGAACTTTTGATTTTGACTTTCTTTTGTCCTCACCTTTTATGAAGGAATGGACCTCTTCTACCAGCATTGCACCACTAACAATATCCTAACCTATTCCATCTTATTTCACTAAACATACTTGAAGAAGGTGAGGGGGATGATTGAGAATCCACGATCTATGAAAACAGAGATGGGAATTCAGCTTGGACTAGAAAAAGTTTGAGGAAGATGATATAGGAGTTAGAAAGATTCCATTTGATTGTTGTTCTGGGGTCGTATGAGGAAGGCGATTTATCTGCCAGGTTGAGTACTGCAGAGACTGAATGGATGGAGCTGTGAGAATGTACAGGACAACTCCTGTTTGCACAGTCTACCATTTTAGCAGCTTCTCATGAGCTTGGAGCATTCGTTGAGTCACAAACCCTAGGATGTGGCTAAGTCTGGGTCTTGTTTCCTGCACTGGCAAAATGGGAAGAGTAATCCCTTATTTGGAAAAAAAAATGGAAGGCACTAAGTAAAATCCTTCAAAGGAGAGTTTTAATCCAGTGGAGGCCTATGCCCCTGTGCCCCGTGCCCCTGCTATGGTTTGGATAGTGTTTGTTTGTCGTCTCCAAGTCTCGTGTTGAAACTTGCTCCCCAGTGTTGGAGGTAGGGGCTGGTGGGAGGGGTTCAAGTCATGGGGATGGATCCCTCATGAATCGCTTAGTGCCATTCTGGCAAGAGTGTGCTTGCAGTTAGTTCCTGTGAGGACTGGTTGTTGAAAAGAACCTGGCACCTCCTCCACACTCTCTGCCACCTCTCCCAACTTGTGATCTGCATATGTAGCTCCTCTTCACCTTCCACCTGAGTGCCTGAGGCCCTTGTCAGAAGCAGATGTTATCACCATGCTTCCTGTACAGTCTGTAGAACCGTGAGCCAAATAAACCCTTTTTCTTTATAAACTACCCAGCCTCAGATATTCCTTTATAGCAACACAAACTGACAAAGACAGCCCCAGGCCTGTAGCTCATCTTCTGTCCCTGGCGGGATGCTGGCAGCTTCTGCTTTTAGGCCATGCTCTGGCACCATCTCCCTGCCTTTATGTCTGATAGGGAGATCTGTCAGTGGATGCAGTAGTGGTAGAGTTTGTAGAGACTCCGTTAGAAATTTAGAAAAAACAAAACAAAACTTAGACTTCCTTGTTTTTTTATCTGAAATGACCTATATCTATTGCTACTTAGTGATACAGTGTAGATCTTGTGAGACCCTGCTCCATGCCAGCACAGGGCCTGATAGCCTCTCTACCCGGCAACAGTATCTATATCCATTCCTAGAAATGGAATTACAGAAAATACCATTTTTTGTTTTGTGGATGGCTACACACACACACACACAAAACAGTGAAGAGAATGATCTGTTATTGTTGGCATCCTCAGGATATATGGCACATTAACTTGGCATTCAGGTTGCACAGTAAACCCTCATAGGTCAGGAACTGTAAAACTTGCTTTTCTCCATCCTCTGAGCACAAGCTTGTCTTTCAAAACAATTTCTAGTCATGACCCAGGAGGGTTGCAAGGAAATGAAGCTACTCCTGCCTCCCTGACATTCATGCTTGGTTAAGCTGCTGTCCTGATAAGGCCCTGATAAGTATGCTGTATAAACTCTCAACTGAGCCATTCTGAGGAGGAACAGCTAGGTTCTTGGAGATATTAATAAAAACATGCCCCTCAGGATATACATCAGAGACAGCTAGTCTCACTCAGCCTGCTTCTCCATCTTTAACATGGGGAGAAACTTAAGATTCTTTCTTCTCTCTTAGAGAGTGGAAAGTAGCCTTGGTTTATCCATGTGAAAAATAGAGCTAAAAAGCCATTTTTCAGCATCTGCCTTTCTTCTGGAAGGACTGGGGAATGAACAGATGTTAAATATTGATCAGCTAGGCTTATCTTTAATGCAGCCTGCATTTGGCTGTGAACTTGATGACTGAGCCTGCTGATTTTTGCAATAATACCTGGGACTTAATAGGTAAAGAAATGACTATGGAATTGAACCCGTATAATTCCCATGAAAAAGATGTTACAAGTAGAAGTTTTCAACTGTTTTCAGGCATACTTCCATCATACCAAGAACATTAGTTGCACTAATTAGTGCTTGAAATATTGATCTTCATCAGCAGTGTCAAAAGCATTGCTCAAATGTCTGTGCTCTCTTGGCATTCTACA